GCCCATTGAACATGGTCAGTTCCAGGCCTCCAAACTGAGTCCTCAGAGACGCCAGCGAGAAGCAAGAATGGAGACTCCCCTCCGAGCTTCCGTGATGCTCCTGTGTGTGCAGCTCGCCTGTGAGTGAGGAAGAGGGGAAGGGCCGGCAAGGAAATGGGGCATCTGTGGCAATTAATTCTATTGGGTCCCCAGGGACAATTTGGGGTTTATGCTAAGGAATGTAAAAGAAATACGGAAAATTTTCAAAACAAAGAAAAGACCAGTTTCTTATGAATGAAAATATTTTAACTCCTGAACAGGGTCAAACGCAAAACTGCCGGTGGAGCAGAGCCCTCCTTCCCTGGAAGTCAAGGAAGGCGAGAGCTTTGCACTGAACTGCACGTACCAAGACAGCAACTCCGATTTCTTTCAATGGTTTAGGCAGGATCGTGGGGAAGGCCCCCGCTCTGTGATACAAATGTTTTCAAATAAGAAAGAGGAGACCAGCGGAAGATTCACAGCCAGGCTTAGCAAAGAGCGCCGGCACTTCTCCCTGCACGTGGAGGATTCCGGGCTCTGGGACTCAACCACGTTTTTGTGCGCGGCGAGCACAGTGAGGCTCAGGCACCTGCACCCTGCACCTGAACCCTTCTAAGCCCTGCCCTTTCTTCTAGGAGGGCTACAGGGCTGACTTTAACTTCGCTCTGAGCAGAGGGAAACGTGAGGGGCGTTTTATAACACAGTGTCAAATATTTCATTTGAAGACCAAGTGCAGAGGGATAATGTTTTAAAATACCATCTAGTTTGTTTTGTTTCTCAGTGTGAAGTCGGTACTCTGTTAAAACTCATCAGAAAACCTGAGGCTTAATATAAGAAAAGAGAGAGCACTAAAGAACAAAGAGAGAACAGAGTAAAATTCTTTCCTTTGAGCTCCTTTGCAGACTTTTACAAATACATCGAAAATACAAAATCTTAAAAGCCATGACCACCAAATTCAGTAGTGAAAGAATATTAATTTTTATATCCCTAAAAGACTGGCTTAGAAGATCAAGTACCAAAACCTGAGGGAAAATGGTATAAAGTTTTTGAAGGATGGAGTGAAAAGAGATCACAATATGATGGAAAATCTGTTTCTTCCTTAAAAGAGGATAAAAATTCAACCAGCCGGTGGGAGAAGAATCAAAAGAGGGGTGACAAGAGGTTATAAGTAGTGGGTCTTTGAAAAGTGCCCAGCATCCTGATCTTTTCTAGGGTCAGAACTCTGAGCAGGTGGGTGGGAGCAGGATGAGTCACATTTAGGGGAGACCATGAACGGAGGGGCAGTGAGTGCAGGCACAAAATGTTCAGATCAGTGTGTCTCACATCAATACCCACCTGAAAGCATCCACTATGAGGAAGCGCTGAGTGACCATGTGGACAAGATGATCCATCCAGAGGATGTCACCAGCCTCTGTCCTCGTCCATGTCGGTGCTGGAACAATAAACCTGTGAACAGATTCTCCAAGGTCACAGAATAGAGGTTCTCCGCGAGCCCAGAAACATGAGTTTTCTCTCACCAAGTTGGATTTAGCTACTTCTGCTGCCAAATATCCAACCTGTCAGCAGTAGCTACAACACTGAGCCTCCAGGAGATCAACGAGCCGCTTGTTGGCAGGTTGATTACACTGGACCACTTCCACCCTGGAGGTGGCAGAAATCTTTTCTTATTGGGGTTAATACATACTCTGGGTCTAATTTTGCTGTCCCTTCCACAGTGCCACACAAAGCAGCATGAACTGGACCTCAGAGTGTCTGATTGCTCATCATGATCATCAAGGGATTTCACACCCCTTTGCATCAACACACTCACTTTATAGCAAGGAGGTGTGACAATGGACATGTGACCATTGGGTATAATGATCCTACTACATATGGCATTATCCACAAACCGCTAGGCTAATTTAACATTGGAATGACCCCTTAAAGGCTTAGCTAAAGCACCAGCTCAGAGATAGTGCTCTGAGACATTGGAGAACTATTCTTCAAGATGGTGCTGTGTTCCTAGAAGTTGAATAGGATACATGGACCTGGGAACCAAGGGGTGGAGGTAGGACTATCTCTCCATAAACTTCCACTTTCAGTGACTCACTTGGATATTGTGTGCTTCCTGTTCTCATAGCTCTAGGTTCATCTGGACTAGAGGTCCTGTTTCCCTTTGCAGGGAAGGGAGAGGAGGCTACTTCTAATGGAGAAACAGAAAGGTTTTCACCAAACCTAAAGTTACTTATACCACCTGGTCATTTGGAGATTCTCATGCCTGAAGACCAGAAGACCAAGGAAGGAGTTACAAGACTGGCAAAGGCAGTTGTTCTTGATTATCTTGAGGAGACAGAGTTGTTGCTACCTATTGGGATCTGGAAAAATGGCTAAAACTCAGGATTTTCCAGGATGACTTAGCACTTTCATGACAGTGATTACAGTAAACAGGCAATTGTAGCAACTATAGCCTCACAAGGGCAGAATAACCAAGTGCTTAGACCCCCAGGGATGAAGGTCTAGATTACCTCAGTGAGAATAAATTCTAGACCAGTAGAAGTGTTAGTCAAAGGTGAGGAGAATCAAGAATGAACCATATAGGAGGTAGATGGAGGGAGATAATAAATATGAATTACAGTTATGGAATCAACCACCACCATAATCAACAATTACAATAGTGATTGTAACTTGTCCCACTAGGCTTCCTGCTGATCTTTTTTTTTTAAAGAACTAGTGATCTGAGTGGCTCTAACATAGAGCACAAGTGGATTTCAGCAGTTCGAGAGATGAGCTGTAGAGAAGTTCATGCTCCACTCACATCCCCTTGACAGTCACCTCTGCACACTGAAGAGCCCAGCATCTCTGAGGACTATTTCCTGGCCATGGAAACACATGTGGCCAGCGTGTGGGGCAAGTCAAATGTGTCAGAGAGTTAATTCCCCCAAAGCAACCCTAAATCAGTGATAGACAATGAGTTTAGGGATTAGTACAGCTCCTTTATGCCTCGTTTGGGATAACTCCAAAGTGTAGGCTATACTGTCTCATGGAGTTACCCAGCTGGACTAAGTTCCAATTGCCCATGGTAGTAACTGGCTTGATGACAACACACTATACTGTCTTCCTTCCCTTCTCTGATTCACTTCCTACCAGCTTCCTAGAATCTTCTGCAAATAAACTACTTACACATAAATCTTCATATTGGAGCTGACTGTCAGGGATCCAAAACCAAGATAGAGGATTCAAATCATGCACAAGGTTGGAGATGATCTGGAATAAGGTCCAGCGCCCTTTCTTCCATTGCTGAGAAGACTGAAGACTTGGGAAAACCCAAGACTGGGTTTTGGAGCACAAGGAATTCTAGCAGACACATTCAGGGCTGGTCCCAATTCTAATCACTCCATGAACATCTCTCTGAGTGGGGAGACTCAGCTGCCTACCTCTGTGTTACAGAGAATCTGTGCTCCTCAGACACCACCCAGGATGTAATCAGGCCCCATTCATACACCCAGCTTGGGGACTGCAACTCTGAAACTACATAAATATACCTGTCACTCCCTCTGGAAATCCCAAATTCTAATAAATCATAGTATGGATTTTTAAAAGTTCCTTGTTCACGATACTTTCTCAAAATGGAATGAGAATGATGAGAACAACTCTTTATTTTTTTATTGTGGTAACATTGGTTTATAACATTATATAAATTTCAGGTGCACATCATTATATTTCGATTTCTGTGTAGATAACATCATGTTCACCACCCAAAGACTAGTAACAATCCATCACCACACACGTGTGCCTAACCACCCCTTTCATCTTCCTCCCTCCTCCATTCTCCTCTGGTAACCACCAGTCCAATCTCTATCTCTGTGTGATTGTTTGTTGTTGATTTTGTCTTCTATTTATGGGTGAGATCATACAGTATTTAATTTTCTCCGTCTGATTTATTTCGCTTAGCATAATACCCTCAAGTTCTGTCCATATTGTCACAAAGGGCCAGATTTCATTGTTTTTTATGGGTGAGTTGAATTCTATTGAGTATGCATACCACATCTTCTTTATCCAAACATCCCTTTATGGGCACCTAGGTGAGAGCACCTTTTTTTTCTTTTTTAAAGATTGGCACCTGAGCTAACATCTGTTGCCAATCTTCTTTTTCTCTTCTTCTCCCCAAAGCCCCCCAGTACCTAGTTGTATATTCTAGTTTTAGGTCCTTCTGGTTGTGCTGTGTGGGACACCAGCTCAGCATGGCCTGATGAGCGGTGCCATTTCCACTCCCAGGATCCAAACCGGCAAAACCCTGGGCTGCTGAAGCAGAGGATGCGAACTTAATCACTTGGCTGCGGGGCCGGCCCAGAGCAATTCTTAATACGAGATGTTTGAGGCAATTTAGTGCTGATGAGAACTCCCGCAATAGTTATTTCAGAACTTCTTGATACTGGACAAACTAGGTCTTATTTTAAAAAAAGTATCTGTGGAAAATATAAGCACAGATGCCACATGTTGTGCTCCCACTTATGTCTGAGTTTAGTTTAGTTTACTTACTGCTGTCAGGGATCTGTCTGAGTTTAGTTACTGCTCTTTTCAGTCACAAACATATATCTTTTTTTCAAATTCATTATTTTGAGAAATTATAAAAATATAAAAAATTGAATATGTTAATATAAAAGGTATATTCTACCACCCATAATTACTTTGTTCATATTTATCACATCTGCTTTGTCATTTTTATTTTAAAAAAAAGAAAAAAATTATGCCATTGTTATGAATGAAACCCTGCCACTGCTGCACACCATTCCAGGTCCCATTCTTCTCTCCAAGAGTAAGTCTTCTCAGAATAAATTTCCCAGCTCCACTTCCTCTTTATTTTCATCCTAGAATAAAAGAACTCAGAAAACATTTCTCCCTTTCATTTGAAATTATAACCAAAGGCCTATTTTCTAAAAGAGAGACCAAAAGTACTGGGAAAACTTTCGTCAATGAGACATAGCCACCCACCCACCTGTCAAGCCATTTCCTGTTCTGAAGCAGAAGCATCACCGAGCACAGAGGAGAGCCCAGGCCAGAGCAAGAGACTTCTCACCCTGCAGGGGAGAGCTATCAGCATGGCACTTGTTAGCTTGCTGTGGGCGGTCGTGGTCTCCACCTGTCTTGGTAAGGGAGGTGAAGGTCTTTATTTGTAATGCTTTCTAACTGGGCTGTGAAACAAGACAGAAGATTAATAGAACAGAAATTGCACTGTCTCATAGAGCCCAGCTACACGGAGGCAGAAGCTGGTATGTTCTGCCTGAAGCTTGAATCAAGAAGGAGAAAGGTGGGTGGGCATGAACCAGCTTGTGAGTCCACCTGCTTTCTCTCTCTAGTGTGATACCCCAGTGCAGTCTTTCTCTCCTCTTTCACACAGGATCCAGCATGGCCCAGACGGTCACTCAGCCTCAACCAGAAATGTCTGTGCCCGAGGCAGAGACTGCGACCCTGAACTGCGTGTATGACACTAGTGAGAGTAATTATTATTTGTTCTGGTACAAACAGCCTCCCAGCGGGGAGATGATTCTCATTATTCGCCAAGAAGCTTATAAGCAACAGAATGCAACAAATAACCGCTTCTCCGTGAACTTCCAGAAAGCAGACAAATCCTTCAGTCTCAGGATCTCAGACTCCCAGCTGGAGGATGCTGCAGTGTATTTCTGTGCTTTCATGAGGGCACAGTGAAGCAAGCAACAGGGAGAGGCTTACAGAAACCTCAGACCTTGACATCTGTGCAAAGGTTGGGGGAAGTGGTTGAGGTAAGAGGAACATAGAAAAATCATCGATTTCTCTGCAGAATAAAAGCTTCTCCTATTGAACATCAGAAATACAGAGAGATGGATGTCTATAAGTTGTAACCCTTAAAATAGTAGTAATAATCATGATGTGTGTAGTGCTTTCCAGTTTTACAAAGTATCTTCACACATACTGTCATGTGTAACTCTCATAACTTTGTATGGCACATGTGACAGGTCAGATTTCCTAGCATTTCCTCTGTCCAGCTTTATAGTTTTCCTGGGAGCTCATACCGCTAAGAATCGTCACCTTTCCAATTTTGTTAATTGGTGCTTGTTCTTTTAATTGTCCATCCACATCTGAAACTGAATCTCCTCAGAACAAGTTATCTATATTAGAACACAACAGGTGTGATAAGGGGGCATAACTAGGGAGGGGCTCCCCTGGTCCTACCATGGACCTAAAAGATGACCTAGTTCTTGATACTTCAGTCAGCTGACTTCCAAGAATGATGGAATGGCCTGTTAAAGGCTCAGCTAAGAAGCCAGCTCAGGAGCAACACCCTTAGTAATTGGGATGATAAACTCCGGGAAGTAATACTGTTTGTGAAACCAATAGCTGATATATGGTGCTGTGGCACCCTAGCTAAAATACACAAGGTTAGAAACCAAGAAATGGAAATAGAATAGACCTCTCCTATCACTCCCTGTAACTTATTTTCACAATTTGTGTTTCCCTTTCCCACAACCCTAGGCTCTGTTGGATTAGAGGCCCTAGTTCCCAGAGAAGAATGCTTCCACTGGAGGATTCAGTAAGGGTTCCTTACTGCAGCTATGACTGACACCTAGGTCATTTTGAACTCCTTGTGCCAATTGTCCAGTAGGCAAAGAGAGGAGTAAGTAGACTTGGAGAGGTAATTGACCCTGATTATCATGAAGCACCAGGTTGTTATTATACAGTGAGGGCAAGGAGGAATATATCTGGAATTTAAGTGTTTCACATTGGGTATCTCCATGCCCAGTAAAAATAGCGGATGGCAGTTGCAGAAACAAGACCTAAAAAGGACAATGTCACTGAGACCCCTCAGTAATGAAGGTCTAGGTCATCCCATCAGGCAAGCAACGTAGGTCTGCTAAAGTGCTATACATTGGTAAGGAATCTGGAGAGTATGGCGGAGGAAGGAGAAGATGAGTATCAATTATAGTCTTGGTACCGGTTAAAGAAGTGGAGCCTGAAGCTCATGTCATGCAACGCACCCCCCTCGCCCCCGTATTAAGTGTTTAAGATAGATTTCAGCCAGCCACAAACTTGAAGACTTAGTGACACAGTGAAAATAATATAGGGCAAGCATGCATCTGAGTTGTCCAAAGAGAGCCCTGTAACAAATATCTCAGGTGCCTCGTGATCACGTCCAATGCCTAGCTCTGATTTTATCAATAGCTATGGTGGACAATTCTGTGGACTCTTGGACTTATCTCAAGCTGATAACATCCACATTAAACACCCACTGTGTATTTTTCACTTCTTACCCCAGGGCCTCCTCTGACTCCTCAGGAGGTCACTCAGCCCATGGGCAAGCACAGCCTGAAAGTATAAGGGGATTACCACCCCTGCTGGCAAGCACCAACCAGTGAGAAAAGAGGACTGATGAATGCACTAGTTCATGCCTTCCAGCAGACAATCCTGAACGGCATCCCGTAATGCTTCTCAGAAGATCCTGGCAGAATGAAGCCCCAATCTCATACTACCTACTGTCTCACTCCTACTTCCTAAGGTCCCTTCCTAAATAAACCACCTTCCCCTGAGTCCTTGCTTCAGGCTCTATTATAACAAAATTAAAGCAGAGTTTCTTTAAAAATTTAATAAAGAACAGAAGAGAGTTCAAGGTAAACTGTACTGGGCTGATTGCTAATAAGAGCAGGTGGTTGCTTTAGTGACTAATTGGAAAAATAGAAGATGTCACTTTATTTTTTCAAAAGACGGTGAAACAGATCACGTTTATGAAATTCCAGTCTCTGCAGATGTGGGATCACGTCTTTTCACTGCACAAAAACTTTGCTTTCCAAATCTGAACTCTTTTATCATTATCCCTATCCGTGAATCTGCTCACCCTGTACTATTTAAACCTCATTCCTACTTCTTCCCAAAATATACCTCTATTCCAGTCAGTCTGTTCTCCTTCCTGGTGCACAGGCACTTCAAGCTCTTGAATTTCTTTTTGGGTTGTTCCATTCCCCCAATTTAGCTTTTGTGTATATTTCAGGCTGGTCAAATCTTATTAGTCTTTTGAGTACAACTCACGGTTCATCTCTAACAGAGAATCCTTGAATTCCGTCTCTTCTAATGTCATACAGACCTGAACCTGAACAAAGCAATTTGACTCTTAGTGACTTACCTTTTTAAATTATTTGCTGTTGTGTCAAGGTACTGAACTTTACAGTCTCTATGAGGACAGAACTCTGCTCTGCATACTTCAGCATTCCTCGGTGCTCTTGGCACAGGCTCAGGCACGTAATAAGTACTTGATAAAGCCTGAAGATTATGCTTAAAATTTATCTTATAATCATCGAGTGTTCATGAAAGAATATTAAGGGGAAAATTTGGTATGTTTTAACATAGTCACAGAAAGTTTCTTTGAGAAGGTAAGACATGATAAAAGGTAGGATTTTTTAAAGCAATAATAAAGGGAAGAATGGGTATATTTTAAATATCAAGTTCTCTTCATTGAGTGTAAATAGAAACCTGAAACTCATATAAACAGATTACTTCCAGAAAAGATCTCTTTACTAAACCAAGTTATTTCTGTGTAGAGGAGCAAATCCTAGGAATTACCTCAGTAATTATTTGTTTGACCTGAAGAGGGCACTGCATGCATCCATTGACAACAGTCATTTGAAAAGCCCGTCTCATGGTCAAAAACCTGCTATGTTCCTAATACATACGAAAAACCTGAAACAAACGATCCTTTATATAAAGAGTCTAGGTCAGATTTCCACATTACAGAATCGAATCCTCCATGGGCCTGGGAAGGCCAAACCATGGAGTAGCTTCTAGGAGTCAGATTTATGATCTGATGGCTTCAGTCAGGATGTGAGCTGGGAGAATTTATGTCATCAGGAACCCAAAGGACCCAGAAGGTTCTGAGATCTAGTCTCTATCTTTTATAGAAGGTACTCGAAGAACAAATGAATTCTTTTGTGTGTGTGTGAGTGTGTGTGAGTGTGTGTGTGTATATGAGGAAGACTGGGCCCGAGCTAACATCTGTTGCCAATCTTCCTCCTTTTGCTTGAGGAAGATTGTTGCTGGGCTAACATCTGTGCCAGTCTTCCTCTATTTTATGTGGGCTTCTGCCACAGTGTGACTTGATGAGTGGTGCCAGGTTCACACCTGGGATCCGAACCTGCAACCCCTGGGCTGCTGAAGTGGAGTGTAAGAAGTTAACCACTACACCACCGGGCCAGCCCCAGAAATGAATTTTTAAAATCCATCCTTTAATATTATCTTTTAAGAAAAGTAACCATCAGATGAAGAAAGTTCTTCTTAACTGACCATCCAAGAAGGAAACAATTTTATTAGCTGCTGTAATTATTTGAACAGTGTTTCAGATCCATGGATACAGGATGGAAAGGATCTATAATGAATCTGGTGTCTTTGTTTCTGTTCTGGTTTTTTAGGGCTTTGGAGCACAAGAGTGGATTAGCAGCCTCCTTCGGTGTTAGTCCCAGCTCCTCCACTCCCTGCACATCAATACCACACAGTCAGGAGACTAAGGCACCTTCCTCTGTGCCAAAGGAAATCCTTGCTCCCCAGAGAGCGCCAAATACACTGGGCCCCACTCCCTGCATTGGGACCGCCACTCAGGGGTTAGTAATCATCTCCTCTGACAAAAGAAAATTGTAAATGAATAAAAATAAAACTTTGTTGAAAAGACTTTCAACAAATTTTTTGTTCACTCTATTTTCAGATAAGAAATTGAGAGTCATGAGAACACTAAACCCGAGATGTCTGAGGTGTTTAGGAGTGGGGACCCTCAGTGTTCTCTAGGCAAGATCCACCCAACTAAGAGGGAATGTCTTGACCTCTGGAGCAGCTTCTCCAACTTGTGCCATTAATTGTTGATGTGCCTTTGTTTCTGCCTCTATAAAATTTCCCGTATGAGAACATGGGAGTAGGCATGAGATGTTCACATATTTTTCTCCTAGTTTTTACCTTTTATAGTCTAACTAGATAACCCTTATGATAAATCCTGTGACAGCAGTTGCCAGATGCTGTTGATTCCCAGGGGTACACAGTGGAATTTCTCAGACTGCCCAGAAAGGGTACTACTTTTCTTTTTTAACCTTTTCCTCTCTTTCCTTTTCCTTCTTCACCCTTCTTTTCTGCTTAATATTTTGTAATCTGGCTTTGCTCACCACCTTCTATGGACTTCCTAAATAACCCAACCCAATAAACTATCCTTACTTAAAACAAACAAAAACACAAAAGACAATGATCATCTGGGCAAAATATATATTTTAAAAAAAACGAAATGAAAAGACAGCTTTTGTCCACCCCCATATTTGCCCACTTGAAAGTTCTTTCATACACATTTCATATACATCATCTCATTTGATCCTCAGAGTTCAACACTGTGATTACCTACCTGTGGAAGCTAGGGACTGAATGGATGATGGATATAAGATACTAAAGTTCTGATAGGCTGGGCCCAGAGGATCAAGAAAAGATCTAAAACAACAGGATAGACCTTCTGGTTTGAGATCCCCAACCAGCACTACAGGCGCAGTGAATGCAAACAACAGGCAGAAAACATTTATCCTGAGAGCCTCGTTAGTGAACTCATAGCTTCAGCTAGACTGAGGGCCAGAGAAAAGACAGCCTGATCATCTAAAGTTTCCTATAAAGACTGAAGAGGAGAAGGGAAAAATCATAAAGTAACGACATTTTTACCAATGTCAGTGACTCTGAC